TTCTGTCCTCCCTCGAAAATGTCCTCCTAAATGTTCTCTTTTTCTATATTTGAAGACTTATCTGCAGGGCTTTTTTTCCCTCATTGAACGCCCAGAAAGCGTTCCGGGACCTTTTTTTGATGGTTTTTTTCAACTTTTGCCTGAGCTGTGCTACTCCCCCTATTGGCTTTCGAAAGTCAATAGGAATTGCTGCTGAGCGCGCCAAAACACCCAGGCGACAAACTTTGCACGTGTAAGTTGCAGGAACTTTGCACCCCTCACTGCTACCCAACTACACCATCTCTTACTTAGTTCCGCAGATAGCTGGAGGAGACTGGAGCGGTAAGTTTCTCTTGATGTTCCCTGTTCGGTTCTACACGGGGATGCATAGGGTAGGCGGTGGTGCTGGGGGGTGGCTGCAGGGCCGGAGCCAGCATGGCTGGTGCTTTGCGAGCCACGGGGCCGGCTCTACGGGGATGCGCAGGGTGGGCAGTGGTGCTGGGGGGCGGCTGGGGAGACAGCCGCAGGGCCAGAGCCGGAGCAGCTGGTGCTTTGCCTTTGCGAGCTGTGGGGCCGGCTCTACGGGGATGCGCAGGGTGGGCGGTGGTGCTGGGGGGCGGCTCAGGGCCGGAGCTGGCTCGGCTGGTGCTTTGCGAGCCGTGGGGCCGGCTCTCCATGGCAGGGCAGTGGTGCTGGCGGGGCAGCTGTGGGTGGGGGCGTGGCGGGCAGTTGACCTTCCATGGGCCGCGCCAGCTGGTGGTCTACGCAGTGCTGACCTGCGCTGCCACCACCTCACCCCGCGCATCTACGTGGCCATCCTGGAGTGCCTGGCTCACAACACCTGCCTCCGCCGCCCACCCCCGCGCAGTCCAGCCATGTAGATTTTTGGACAAGTGAGAAATCAAGATTGAATGTTGATACTCTAGCTGCAGCACTTGCCGTAAAATTCAATATGAAGGATATTTCTTGTTCAGATATGTCCAATATATTGTTAGAAGATGATACATTGACAAAAAATATTCATTCAATGGGAAAGTACTCATTTAAATAATTAATAGGCATGTAAGCATAATTACAATATAAAATGTTATTGTTACAAATGTTTTTTATTATGCATTGATCATATTATAGTGTATTCTGTATTATTGTTGCAATAAGTACAATGTTTCTTTTATTTACGATATTTTTTTCTTCAATTTATTCGTGTCCTCCTTTTTGTTGTAAAAAAGTTGGTCACCTTATCTTAGTTCCAGGTTGCTTCTCTCTTTGGTTAGTTTCCATCCGTTTTTTCTTGTCCTGCCTTCAGGTGCTTTCGAGAATAGCTTGACTCCCTCTTCTTTGGGGCAGCCCCTGAGATACTGGAAGACTGCTATCATGTCCCCCCTCGTCCTTCTCTTCGTTAAACTAGACATACCCAATTCCAGCAACCGTTCTTTATATGTTTTAGCCTCCAGTTCCCTAATCATCTTAGTTGCTCTTCTCTGTACTCTTTCTAGAGTCTCAATATCTTTTTTACATCGTGGTGACCAAAACTGGATGCAGGATTCCAAGTGTGGCCTTACCAAGGCATTGAAGAGTGGTATTAATACTTCACGTGATCTTGATTCTATCCCTCTGTTAATGCAGCCTAGCACTGTGTTGGCCTTTTGGCAGCTGCAGCACACTGCTGGCTCATATTTAGGTGATTGTCTACTAGGACTCTGAGGTCCCTCTCACAGTTACTACTATTGAGCATGGTGCCACCTATGCTGTACTTGTGCATTTGGTTTTTCTTGCCTAAATGTAGAACCTTGCTTTTTTCACCATTGAATTTCATTTTGTTAGATAGCACCCAGGGTTCAAGTCCTTGCTCTTAGGCTTCCTGCGTTTGTCGGAGTTTCTCTTAATCTTCAGCTCAATCGAAGCTGCCCCCTCTTTTTAACTGAAAAGGCACAGAGTAATTTTGGGGGGAACTTTCCAGGCTTCCTTTCTTTTTCTTTGACTTCCATCCCAGGGGATCCTTGCGAGGGTTTCCGTACCCTGGTTGAAACGAACTCTTCCCAAATCTAGCAGGAGTTACGTCTACAGAGTTGAGAATCGAGAAATCCCAGAATGACATAACGAACCATTTTGCAGAGCCCCAGTTTTTAGCTAGCGAGGTTGGGGACGAGGACGAGAGTCCCAGTTAAAAAGAGCAGAAGTGAAAGATGGGGTGTAAAGCAAATTCAACATAGATTGAGCCCGTCTTTGCAATTAGATTTTAATAAGAGACGGGGAGGGAGGATGGATGGATGGATGGATGGATGGATGGATGGAAGGAAGGAAGGAAGGAAAGGAAGGAAGGAAGGAAGGAAGGAAGGAAGGAAGGAAGGAAGGAAGGAAGGAAGGAAGGAAGGAAGGACTCCAAAAAGAGTACAGAGGAGAGTAACAAAGATGATTAGGGGACTGGAGGCTAAAGCATATAAGGAACGGTTGCTGGAATTGGGTATGTCTAGTTTAATGAAGAGAAGGACGAGGGGGGACAGGATAGCAGTCTTCCAGTATCTCAGGGGCTGCCCCAAAGAAGAGGGAGTCAAGCTATTTTCCAAAGCGCCTGAAGGCAGGACAAGAAGCAACGGGTGGAAACTAATCAAGGAGAGAAGCAACCTAGAACTAAGGAGAAACTTCCTGACAGTGAGAACAATTAACAAGGGGAACAACCTGCCTCCAGAAGCGGTGAATGCTCCAACACTGGAAGTTTTAAAGAAGAGACTGGACAGCCATCTGTCTGAAATGGTGTAGGGTTTCCTGCCTGAGCAGGGGGTTGGACTAGATAACCTCCAAGGTCCCTTCCAACTTTATTATTATTATTATTATTATTATTATTATTATTAGAAAAGGGAGGAAGGAGAGAGATGGGAGGGAGGGGACGAAAGAAGGAAGGGAAAAGGAGAAAGGGAGGGAGGGAGAAAAGGAAGGAGGTGAAAAGGAGGGAGGACGGCTGGATCTGAACGGTCTCCGAAGCGGCGTGATTTCAGTGGGGCCGGCGATTTTGGGCAGAACTCGCACCCGGGAGCCTTGAAGAAGCCAGCGAATGCTGCATCGACGTGGTCGCCAGAAGGGCTCCCGAAGAAGCGGGTTTGGCATCGGGGGGGTCCCTTGCCCCCGATAGAAACCAGGCCTGCTCGGCTGCTCCTTTGCCTGCTGTCGCCCAGGGCAGCCCACGCCCGCCCTGTCCCCGGCACGGGCAGAACCCCGGGCCCTGGCGCTGCGGGTGAGGTCACAAGCAGCCCTTCCGGAACCCTGGGGCTGGCAGAAGCGGCAGCCCCTCGCCGCAGGGGGCACCCTCCGGCCTGGAGGCAGGGAGTGGGTGCCCTTTTGGGGAGCAGGGGGCTCTCCGGAAGACCCCCTCCTCGCAGCCCCCACCAAGCCCAACCCCAAAAGATGCCACAGGACAAGGGGGACGCAATTGGGCGACCTGGCGCGGGAGAGGAATAACTAAGCAGGTGCCAGGTGCGTCTCTGGGGGGGGGGGATTGCGTTTGCGGGTGGATGTTAGAAGCCTGGCTGCCACTGCTCAGTCCAGAGAGGGCAGAAAGTGGGGCTTTGTGTGTGTGTGTGTGTGTGTGTGTGTGTGTGTGTGTGTGTAGGGGTGTCAGGAGGGACAGGGTGGAGGGGGCAAGGGGACAGTGGCTTGCCTTAGGGCAGGGGTAGGCAACCTTGGCTCTTTTCTCTCATGGATTTCAACTCCCAGAATTCCTGAGCCAGCCATGCTGAGGGGAAAGGGAGAGGTTTCCAAGCTGAGCCAGGCTGGCTCAGGAATTCTGGGAGTTGAAGTCCACGAGTCATGAGGGGGCCATAGTTCCCCCATGTTGGCTCAGGGATTCTGGGAGTTGAAGTCCATGAGTCATGAAGGGGCCAAAGTTCCCCCATGCTGTCTCAGGAATTCTGGGAGTTGAAGTCCACAAATATGAAGGGGCCATAATTCCCCCATGCTGGCTCAGGAATTCTGGGAGTTGAAGTCCACGAGTCATGAAGGGGCCATAATTCCCCCGTACTGGCTCAGGAATTCTGGGAGTTGAAGTCCGCAAGTCATGAGGGGGCCATAGTTCCCCCATGCTGGCTCAGGAATTCTGGGAGTTGAAGTCCATGAGTCATGAAGGGGCCAAAGTTCCCCCATGCTGGCTCAGGAATTCTGGGAGTTGAAGTCCACAAGTCACGAGGGGGCCATAGTTCCCCCATGCTGGCTCAGGAATTCTGGGAGTTGAAGTCCACGCGTCATCAAAGAGCCAAGGTTGCCTACCCCTCCCTGCCTTAGGGGGCAGAATTCTCCCCTGACATCTGGGTCAGGACCCACCCGACCCAGAGGCCTCATTCCAGAGTCTCCGCTCCAAGTCAGAAGATTGAGAGATGGTCCTGGTGGAATAACTCAAGTTGCAAGGGGCCTTGGAGGCCATCTAGTCCAACCCCCTTCTCAAGCTGGCGACCCTATGCCATTCCAGACAAGCGGCCGTCCAGTCTCTTCTTGAAAAGCCCCCAGTGATGGAGCGCCCGCGACTTCCGGAGGCAAGCGGCTCCACTGATTCATTAGCGGAGTGACAATGTGGGAAGGGACCTTGGAGGTCTTCTAGTCCAGCCCCCCCTCCTCGCCGAGGCACGAAACCATATCCCATTCCAGACAAATGGTTGTCCGATCTCTCCTTAAAAAGCTTCCAGGGATGAAGCGCCCACAGCCTCTGAAGGAGAACCGTCCACTTTTGGGGGTGCCTCTCTGCATCCCCCCCCCGAAATAGCCTGCTCACAAGGGCCCTGCCCCAGCCCTGGTGGCTGGCAGGTGGGCCAGGCGAGGCTGGATCCTGAGCAAGCTGTCGGGAGAGGCCTTATCCCAGTTTGGAGGCACGGAGTCCTGAAGAGGGGGGGGGGATTCTGCCATTTGGGAGGGGGGAAATTAAGCTGGGAACCTGGCACAGGCTCACCCCGGGGATCCTGGGAAAAAAAAACCCCAATTTCCTTTCGCTCCTGGAGGACAAACGGTCTGACTTCCTCCCTTTGGTTTCCCTGCAGCCCTCAGAAGCAGCCGCCCGTCAATGAGCCGGACGCCAAGATGTCCAAAGGTAGGAAAACGGGATGGGAGACCACCAGGAGATCCAGGCATACCCGGCAGGCATGGTTTAGCACAGCACGTCTCGGCCTTAGCCACTTTTAGGCGCAGTAAGCACAGGTAGTCCTCGACGTACGGCCACAATGGAGCCCAGAATGTTTGCCGCTAAGCGAGACGTTGGCTAAGTGAGCTTTGCCCCATTTTACGACTTCTTTCGCCACAGTGTTCGTTAAGTGGCCACGGCCGTTGTTCAGTTAGTAACACGGGGGCCGTGGGAAGCTGCCTCCCCCACTGATTTAGCTTTGCGGAAGGTCGGAAAAAAAGGGGGAATCACCCGATCCCAGGACTCTGTGATCGTCATAAACGTGAGTCAATTGCCAAGTGTGTCTCAGTTTGCATCATGTGGCCGTGGGGGGGGGGAGAACACCACAACGGTTATAAGTGTGAAAAATGATCGTAAGTCACTTTTTTGTTGCCATTGTAACTTTGAACGGTCACTAAACGAACCGTTGTAAATCAAGGACCACTTAGAAAGGGGACGAAACACTTGGGAAGAAGGGAGAGAAGCTGTCGGGCTGGGATTAAGGCCCCCCTACTTAATTTAGCAGACCGAGGGTCCCATGCCGACTGGAGGGCTGTGGGAATTGAGGCCGGGCTGCGTTCAGTCACCCCCAGACTACTTTTGTGGTGGAGCAAAGCTGCCTTCGGGGCTCCGTCTGCAAGCGCTTTTTCCTTCTGCACCATGAGGACTGGCGCCTTGCTGTTCCGTTTTTGAGGGAAAGGACCGTTGCTCGGCACAGCCGATGGTCTTTTTAGCTGGAAGGTCCCCTCCAGGCTCCCTCCCCAGGAAGGCAGCGGGAAGCGGGAAATTAGAACATGGAACATACAGTTAGTCCTCGACTTAACAACGCTTTGTTTAGTGACCGAAGTTACAACGGCAATAAAAAAAAACAACTTATGACCGTTTTTCCACACTTCAGGACCGTGGCAGTATCCCCCCCCCCCACGGTCATGTGATCAAAATTCAGACGATTGGCAATTGACTCCTATTTACGACGGTCGCAGCATCCCGGGGGAGGGGGCGTCACGTGATCCCCTTCTGCGCCCTTCTGACACGCGAAGTCAGTGGGAAAGCCCGATTTGCTTAACAACCGTGTCACTAATTTCACTTGTTTCCGACAGATGAAACTCTTCAAAGAACTTCGAGGCATTGTTTACCTTAAAGAATCTTTATTTGAGTAGCAACGCATCCGCACGTTCACAGGCCAGAGCCGAAATCTGAATTCCCCTCCCCTGAGCACCTAGTATCAAAGCACAATTCCCTCCTCCAGTTACCAGTCATAAATCCCACTCTCCAATTGGTTTGAAATGCAGGCTTTCCACCCAGTTCTTCAACCCGCCATGTCTTATCACCTCTTATTACAAACAGCCTTGGTTCTCCCCATTATAGAGTATCGTTTTGTCTAACTAATCTCCCCTGCACATTCCTCCTCCTCTCCCCCTTCTTCTTCTTGTGCAGTGTTTCTCGACCTTGACCATTTTAAGGCATGTGGACTTCAATTCCCAGAATTCCACAGCCAGCATTGCTGGCTGTGGAATTCTGGGAGTTGAAGTCCACATGCCTTAAAATGGTCAAGGTTGAGAAACACTGTTCTTGTGCCATATCCATTATCGGACGTTGGCGATCACGTTGGCGATCCCGTTTTTATCTGCAGCTGCACGAAAAAGGGCTGCTGAGTTTTGTCCCAACCAGTCCCTTCGATTTTGAAGCCACGGTGTCCTGCCTGGGCCTCATTGGCCTTCCATCTTTCCCTGGAGGATTAAACGGAGCATGCCGTTTTTTTTTGGGTGTCGCATCCCATGTCGGAAATATTCTAATTTTCGTTTTTTAATTGTTTTGATGATTTCCCTGGGCTTTCCCAGGCGGCTGATCCCCTCCTCGTTTCTGATCTTGTCAGCCCAGCTTCTACGTAACGGTCGCCTGTCAATCCACATTTCAAATGCTTCTAGTCTCTTCAGGTGGCCTTCTGTCAGAGACCAAGTCTCTGCTCCATAGAGCAGGATAGGAAAAATATATAGGAAAAATATATCCTCCCCCCCCCCAGTATCATCTAATTCTAACTCTTAAGAGTAAAACATAAAAGTAAAGGAAAATGGCTGCATCTTCATATGTTGCCAAAGCAAGACCATCCGATGTTCACAGCGTTGACATTAACAACTGTAGTGATTCGCTTCACGACTGTGGCAACAGAGGTTGTAAACGGGGGGGGGGGCAAAATCCGCTTAGCCACTGAAATTAGGGGGCTGATGTGGTTCCGGCTAATGAAACATTCCAAAGAATTTCCGGGCATTGATTTTCCTAAAAGTCTTTTATTGTTACAAAATGTCGCCACAGGCACAACGGAGGGATGCTAGGATCTAAGTTCTCTTCCTCTGAGCAGTTCAATTATCAGCCTGTTCCCTCCCTAAATTAGCCCTCATACCTCACATTATCCAATTAGTGTGAAGGTCAAAGGTTCCCTTCTTCTCTCTTTCCCGGGCTTTACCCCCAACCCCCCTTCTGCTCTGTATTAACCCCATATTTACCAGACAATTCTGCATATTGTCAAAAGCAAGAATATACAATATTTGCAGCGTTGACAGGGGCTCCGTTGCTGAGCGAAGCCTGGCCTGTGACGGGTTGGGTGGGTGGGAGGGAAGGAACCGTTCCGGAAACCGGGAAGCCTTTTCCTTCTTCCGACCGTCAGTGCAAGGAGAGGGCCTTCTTCCTGCTCCCCTCCAGGGCCGGTCTCCGGGGCCGGGCCTCTGTGGACCACCAAGCGTGACGGAGAGGTCAAGCTGCGCCTGGACGAGAGCGGCATCGGCGCCGAGGACCCCATCACCGTCCACGATCTCTTCCTGGCCTCCGTGGAGAAGTACGGCAACTTCCCGGCGCTGTCTTGGAAGAAGAAGGGCCGCTGGTCCCAACTGACCTTCCGGCAGTACTACGGGGAGTGCCGCAAGACCGCCAAGAGCTTCCTCAAGGTCTGGGCGGGGGGGGGAGAATTGGGGAAGGGAGGGGGGTTTCTGCACTGCACCGCTTTCAGTTCACAACAGGCCTGCGAGGGAGGGAGGGAGGGCGGCTGCAGCGTGGCACCAAGGGTGGCCACCTTTGAGGCTGGGGGGGGGCACAGCGGGTGCTCTGAGGAGGGGCGGCGGCGAGGGGGAGCCTCCGGGGAGGGGTCCAGCTGACATCTCTGCCCTCCTCCCACAGCTGGGCCTGGCGCGCTTCAACAGCGTTTGCATTCTGGGCTTCAACTCGCTGGAGTGGTTCCTGGCCGACATCGGCGCCATCTTTGCTGGGTAAGGGGCAGGACCCCCCCCCTCGCCCCCCTCCCCTCTGGGAAAAGGAAGGAAGAGGGGGGGGGTGATCCCCACCTGGGGAGGTTTCCCTGACTTGCCCAAAGCCAAGGGTTCGAACCCAGCCCCGTCTTCCCTCCCTCCCTTGCTGCTCTTCACTTTTAGGTTTTGGGTCAGTGCGAAGGGGAGGGGTCTCAGCCCCAATCCCTTCGAAGGGGAGCCCCCTCCCCTCCCGCCACCGCCGCCTCAGTGTCCCCTTTCCTGGGAGTTTGAGCGGGTTCAGCTTACTTTCAGGGGTGCAGTCTGTCGGTTGCTATTTGGCAAGTCACTGCTTTTCAACCGGCTTCTTGGTTGGCTACCGAGTTTTGGGCGTAGCGGCCCTTTGGTTTCAGTTTAGCAGCTCCAATAAAGGAGAATATTTGGAGCTGGTGGCTGACGTGAGGCGTCCCTGGTGCTGTCTGAGCTTTGGTGGTTTCCTTGCAGACGTTTCACGACCCAACTAGGTAGCCTCATCAAGGCAAACCCCTTCCTTTTCGAGCCCTGATGATGTGACCTAGTTGGGTCATGAAATGTTCCAAGAAAACTCCCAAGCTCAGAGAGCACCAAGGACCCCACGGTTGTCCTCCTCCTCCTTCTCCTCCTTCTCCTCTCTGCCCTAGCCCTGATGATGTGACCTAGTAGGGTCATGTGACGTCTGCCAGAGGACCACCCAGCTCAAGGACCCCCTCAACTGAGCAGCTCTTTTGGAGGATCTGCCTGCAGTCATTGTGGTCACACAAATGGAATACGTTTTTCACTTTACTAACTAAAAACAGGCTCGCTCCTGCTTTCTTCCTGGCCGAAACTCTCTTGTAAAGTCTGTGTGGAAGGAGGGGCTCAGTCTGTGTTCACACGACCTCCTTCTACACCGGGAGCCCAGAATTGACTCGGGCTGTCGTCTTTTTTTCTCAGGGCTGCAGGAGGTCTGAATGCAGGCCAAGGGTGGGCTTTGAGGGTCTCTCGGAGCGAGGAGCAGGGGTCGTCGTCTGCTTTCTGCCCCATTCTCCAATTAACCCACAGTCTTCAAAGCGACCGAGCTGCCTTTTCACACAAATTTGCGAATCAGAAAAGCTGCTCGCAGACTCCTGAGTTTTTCTGCCAGCCTTTCTTGGAAGGCCCATGGTGCTTTTTCAAGAGGCAAGTGGACTTCCTTGTTTTTGCTTTTTTTTTGAAGACGTTTCGCTTCTCATCCAAGAAGCTTCTTCAGCTCTGACCGGATGGTGGAGAATGGGAGGATTTATACTCCTTGCAGACTGCTGGTTGTTTGCCTTCTTTCAGAGAGTCGTTGAGGCCACTTGGAGGTTTCTCGGTGTCCTCAGGGTCACCTGAGGGGTGCAAAGGGATGTGGTGCCTCCTTGGAACTGCTGAAAGGACTGTGTTGTTCCAAGAAGTCTCCACACCCTTTTGCACCACTTGGGTGACCCCGAGGACCCAGATAAACCTCCAAGTGGCCTCAACGACTCTCTAAAACAGCGGTTCTCCACCTGTGGGTCGGGACCCCATTTGGGGTCGAACGACCATTTCACGGGGGTCGCCAAACAACGCAGTCCGCCATTTCCCCCCCCCTTTTCCTCAGCTGTGCTGCTCCCTTTTATTCTATTGGCTTTTGAAAGCCAATAGAATAGACTCTCTTGAATAGAGTCTAATTCGATTGGCTTTCAAAAGCCAATAGGGATTGTCCAGGCTGCCTCTGCCCTGCTGAGCCCGCCAAAAGTCCCATTCTGCAAACGGGGCTGCGCCAGTTGAGTAGTCCTCGACTTACGACCGGTTGAGTAGTCCTCGACTTACGACCGGTTGGGGGTTGTGGCATTAAAAAGGTTGAGAACAACTGCTCTAAAAGGAGGCAAATGACCAGCCGTCTGCAAGGAGTATAAATCCTTCCCTTCCCCGCCATCCGGTCAGAACTGAAGAAGCTTCCGGGATGAGAAGCGGAACGTCTTTCAAAGAAAGACGAGAAGCTCCAGTTGCCTCTTTGAAAAAGCACCTTTGGATGACGGAGAATCTCCGTAGCCTTTCATGGACGGTGTCCCTTATTCTGCCCTATGGGGCTGCCTTAGGGGTGGGGTCTTCGTTTCTGGATGTGGCTTTTGATCAGGAAGTGGCTTGCAGTTTTGGGACTCACAAACTGCTTCCTGTGTTGGAAGACCCCCTTCCGGAGGGAGGGAGGGAAGGCGTCCTGGGGGTAAAAGAGCAGGGCCTGGCTTGTGGGGTTAGTGGGAAGCTGCCCCAAGTGGGCGGGGGGGGGGCTTTCATTGGCATTGCATAAGGATGCAGAGGTCTTCAGCCCGCTGCTCTTTGTGCGCGACCACGAGTCATCATTTTCCTCGTCCCACAAGCTGCTCGGTGGAACGAGCAAAGCCTTCAAGGGGTGCCTGGGAAGCCGTGCGACAACCCCCGCTCCCCAAATGCAGCAAGCCCATGTCCCCCTTTGTCCCTTCCCCGCCCGCTTTGCAGGGGTTTTGCTGTCGGCATCTACACCACCAACTCCCCCGAGGCCTGTCACTACGTCGCCGAGAACTGCGGGGCCAACATCATTGTGGTGGAGAACGACAAGCAGCTGCAGAAAATCCTGGAGGTGAGAAGCCAGATTCCAGGGCTTTTAAAGGGGCGTGGGAGGTCTTCTAGTCCACCCTTTTCCGGCCCAGGAAAAGGACTTCCCAGGGATGGCGCAGCGATACCTCTGGGACTTTGGATGGTCCACCAAACCTTTTGAGACTGGAAATTGATTGTCCAAGCAACCTTAAGACGGGTGGACCTCAACTCCCAGAATTCCCCAGCCAGCCATGCTGGCTGGGGAATTCTGGGAATTGAGGTCCACCCATCTTCCAGGCGGTAAGATAAACGTGGATTTAGAGAGATGCTTAAGAGCAAACAGAGCATGTGCTGGCTGGGGAATTCTGGGAGTTGAAGTCCACTCATCTACCTGCTGCCAAGGACGAGAAACACTGCATTAAGTCTGTGTCTTTTGCATGGCTGTGTGTGGACCCACTAAAATTGGTGCGGGCCTGGCGCACTCTCAAATTGTCGTAACTTTGAACCGTCACTGAATGAACTGTTCTTAGTCATTTGTCTGAAATGGGATAGGGTTTCCTGCCTGAGCAGGGGGTTGATGACCTCCAAGGTCCTTTCCAACTTTAGTAGTAGTAGTAGTAGTAGTAGTAGTAGTAGTAGGGGATTGGACTAGATGACCTCCAAGGTCCCTTCCAACTTTATTATTAGTAGTAGTAGTCGTCGTCGTAATAATAGTAATATTCGTATTATTATTAGTATTATTATTAATTGAAGATTACTTGTATAAAAGACATCCAAAGCAAAATAAGAGCACAACTCTAGGGATATATATGTATATGTAGGTCTTTGATTATTCGAGTTTTCTCTAGAAGCACGAAGCCGAAAACACCAGCCAGAAGATGACGAATGGGACTTTGTCGAAACGTCGCCAAGACACTTCCAATTTTATGCGGGAGAAAACCCGAATAACCAAAGACCTACATACAAACACCCGTGAAAACCTCAGAAAACACACACACACACACACACACACACACACACACATAGTCTTCGTTTAGCGACCATTGGCCGTTGCAAAGTAACCTTGCAGCCAATCCTGGCATTTGTGACCTTCGCGCATCTGGGAAGCTGAAATCGGATCGTCCAGTGTGAGGATCGGTCTCACTTAGTGGCCAGCAAAGGATTTTGTAGGGGTCTGTCCGGGGCCGCCGCTGAGATCCAGTGCCCCAATGGCTTGGCTTCTGACTTGGAGGGGGGGGGGGGCTGAACTTCAGAGTCAGTGACTTTGGGGCGTTGTTGGGGGTCCTGGTGAAGACATTTGGGCTGAGGCTTCTCTTGTTTCCTCCCCCCCCCCCAGGTGGAGAAAAAGCTCCCCCTGCTGAAAGCCATCATCTACTACAACGAGGACATCAAAGAAAAAAGGCCGAACCTCTACAGTGTGAGTACCTCCCCTTCCTGGAGCGGGGGGCTGGACTAGAAGACCTCCACGGTCCCTTCCGGCTCTATCCTGTTCCTATTCCTTTCTGTTTGTCCTCGACTTATGACCGGAATTTCCATAGCTACACAAGGCAGCGGTTGAGCGAGCCCCACGTGTGTGATTTTATGAAGGTTTTTTTCTTCTTCTTCTCATGGTTGTTAAGCAAAGCACTTAAGCCGTTGTTAAGTGAATCACTCAGTCATTAAGCGGATCTGGCTTCCCTCCCCCCCCTTGACTTTGCTTGCTAAGAAAGCCGGCAGTGGCAATCATTGGACCCTGAGACCCTGCAGCTCTTGTAAATACAGGTTAGTCCTCGACTTACAACGGTTCAAAGTTACAACGGCACTAAGAAAAGTGACCTAGGACCATTTTTTGCACTTACGACCGTCGCAGCCTCCCCACGGTCGTGGGATCAGAATTCAGATGCCTGGCAACTGACTCGTATTTACGACGAGTTGCAGTGTCCCGTGATCCTCTTTTATGACGTTATTGGATTCGTTTAACAGCCGTGTTACTCACTTAACGACCACAGCAATTCACTTAATGACAGTGGCATGAAAAGTTGTAAAATGGGGCAAAATTCACGTAACATTTCATTTTGTCATTGTTCAGTGGGGCACTAAGAGAGTTTTGGCCCCTTTTACGACCTCTCTTGCCACGATGGTTAAGTGAACCGCTGTAGTCATTAAGTGAGTCACACGATTCAGAAGGTTGCAAAAGCGGGTCGCGTGATCCTGGGACGCTGCAACCGTCCTAAGTACAAGCCAGTTGCCAAGCGTTTGAACCCGGATCACGTGACCATGGGGGATGCTGCAAAGGGTGCAACCGTGGAAAGGAAGTCGCATTTTTCAGTGCCGCTGTAACTTTGAACGGCCGCTCAACAAAAAATTGCAAGTCGAGGACCTGCCCGTAGATGACTACGGGCATGCCGCCACCATCGTTACATTTGAGGACCTTTTTTCCAGGGCTGTTGTAACTTGGGCGGCCGAACAAACGGTTGTAAAGCGAGGACCGCTGTCGTCCTTGTCCTGCCCTGCTTCCTTCAGATTCTCTCTGGGAGGAAATACTTCCTCGCTAAATCGGGAGATCCCAGGGATCGACCCGGGATCCTGCAGGGAAGCGTCGCGCTCTGAGTGGACCCATTGGGCAGAGGGCTGGCCTTGCCAGTGGGTAGCGTCCCGCAGGGCCGTAAATGCCTTGGATTGCATAAAGGGAGGGAGGGGGGAAGGTCAGCTGTTTCCCTGAAAGGGGAGGGGGCTGAAAGCCTGCACCGCACACCTTGCGATGCACGAACGTGGCCGTGGCCCCCTCTTCTCACCCGGGGCTGTGGGGTTTTTTCCCTGCCGGTCAGTGGGACGAATTCATGGCCCTGGGCAGCTCCGTGCCGGACGAGCAGCTGGACAAGATCCTGGCCAGCCTGAAGCCCAGCCAGTGCTGCACCATCATCTACACGTCGGGGACCACGGGGAACCCCAAAGGAGTCATGCTCAGCCACGACAACGTGAGTGCCTGCTTGCCTGGGCCCCCTCGGGGGGGTGTGTGTGTCTGTCTGTGTGTCTATGACAGGGGTAGGCCACCTTGGCTCTTTTATGACTCGTGGACTTCAATTCCCAGAATTCCTGGGCCAGCCGTGCTGAGGGAAAAGGGAGAGTTTCCAAGCTGAGCCATGCTGGCTCAGGAATTCTGGGAGTTGAAGTCCCCGAGTCATGAGGGGGGCCAAAGTTCCCCCATGCTGGCTGAGGAATTCTGGGAGTTGAAGTCCACGAGTCATAAAGCGGCCTTGGCCTAGGCCAGAGGTAGGCAACCTTGGCTCTTTTATGACTGGTGGACTTCAACTCCCAGAATTCCTGAGCCAGCCATGCTGAGGGGAAAGGGAGAGGTTTCCCAGCTGAGCCAGGCTGGCTCAGGAATTCTGGGAGTTGAAGTCCATGAGTCATAAAGGGGCCAAAGTTCCCCCATGCTGGCTCAGGAATTCTGGGAGTTGAAGTCCACAAGTCATGAGGGGGCCAAAGTTCCCCCATGCTGGCTGAGGAATTCTGGGAGTTGAAGTCCCTGAGTCATGAGGGGGCCATAGTTTCCCCCATGCTGGCTCAGGAATTCTGGGAGTTGAAGTCCACGAGCCATGAAGAGGCCAAAGTTTCCCTCATGCTGGCTCAGGAATTCTGGGAGTTGAAGTCCACGAGTCATAAAGCGGCCTTGGCCTAGGCCAGAGGTAGGCAACCTTGGCTCCTTTTATGACTGGTGGACTTCAACTCCCAGAATTCCTGAGCCAGCCATGCTGAGGGGAAAGGGAGAGGTTTCCCAGCTGAGCCAGGCTGGTCAGGAATTCTGGGAGTTGAAGTCCACGAGTCATAAAGGGGCCAAAGTTCCCCCATGCTGGCTCAGGAATTCTGGGAGTTGAAGTCCACAAGTCATGAGGGGGCCAAAGTTCCCCCATGCTGGCTGAGGAATTCTGGGAGTTGAAGTCCCTGAGTCATGAGGGGGCCATAGTTTCCCCCATGCTGGCTCAGGAATTCTGGGAGTTGAAGTCCACGAGCCATGAAGAGGCCAAAGTTTCCCTCATGCTGGCTCAGGAATTCTGGGAGTTGAAGTCCACAAGTCATGAAGAGGCCTAGGCCAGGGGTAGGCCACCTTGGCTCTTTTATGACTCGTGGACTTCAGCTCCCAGAATTCCTGAGCCAACCATGCTGAGGGGAAAGGGAGAGATTTCCAAGCTGAGCCATGCCGGCTCAGGAATTCTGGGAGTTGAAGTCCACAAGTCATAAAAGAGCCACGGTGGCCTACCCCGGACTAGGACAACTCGCAGTAGGATAAGAGCAGCACTAATATCAAATAAATGGTGGAATAGTAGAACCACTAAAGAAAGGATACAAAGGAAGGGTCAGAATAAAATGAGTGTGAGTGCCAAAAATTAAAATCTATATTTTTTTAGAATCTATTTTAAAGAATTAAACGGAAATGTTCAATTTTCCCCGTGGTGAGTTTGTCGCATTCCTCCCGAGGCCCCTCCGGCCTCGTCCGTTGCATAAGGCTGTGCTAAGTGGTCAGCCGTAAGTCGAGGACTTCCCCGTATCTCTCGTTTTTTCCCCTGAGGTCTTGAGATGCAGAGCTTTGCAGGAGCAAACGAGACCTTGCCAGGTTTCCTGTTTTTTGCTGTATTGGTGCATTTTAATATTTAAATTAGCGTCTACGGAGAATCTCCGTCGTCTGGGTGTTTTTCCAAAGAGGAACTGGGCTTCGTTTTCCCTTGAAGAGGTTTCGCTTCTTCGCTTCTGAAGGACTGAAGAAGCTTCTGGGATGAGAAGCGAAACATCTTCAAGGAAAACTGAGAGGGATCTCGGAGTCCTAGTAGACAATCACCTAAATAGGAGCCAGCCGTGTGCTGCAGCTGCCAAAAAAGCCAACACAGTGCTGGGCTGCATTAACAGAGGGATAGAATCAAGATCAGGTGAAGGGTTAATACCACTCTACAACGCCTTGGGAAGGCCACACTTGGAATACAGCATCCAGTTTTGGTCACCACGATGTAAAAAAGATGCTGAGACTCTAGAAAGAGTGCAGAGAAGAGCAACAAAGATGCTTAGGGGGCTGGAGGCTAAAACATATAAGGGACGGTTGCTGGAATTGAGGATGTCTAGTTTAACGAAGAGAAGGACAAGGGGGGACATGATAGCAGTCTTCCAATATCTCAGGGGTTGCCCCAAAGAAGAGGGAGTCAAGCTGTTCTCCAAAGCACCTGAGGGCAGGACAAGAAGCAACGGATGGAAACGCATCAAGGAAAGAAGCAACCTGGAACTAAGGAGAAACTTCCTGACAGGAAGAACAATTAGCCAGTGGAACTCCTTGCCTCCAGAAGCGGTGGATGCTCCAACACTGGAAGTTTTTAAGAAGAGACTGGACAGCCATTTGTCCGAAATGGTATAGGGTTTCCTGTCTGAGCAGGGGGTTGGACTAGATAACCTCCAAAGTCCCTTCCAACTTTATTATTATTATTTTTATTTCATTATTATTACTACTAATAATAATCATCATCCTCAGCAGTCAGCCAGAAGTTCAGACTGGATTTGGCATATTGTCTACCTATCGAGATTATTATTATTATTATTTATTATAAACAAGAAAGTCCAGTTGCCCTTTGGAAAAGCACCTTTGGGCCCTTTAAATGGGGCCTGGCGGAACTTGAAATATTCACCCTGAAATAAACCTTGACCATGTAAAGCTTTTCCTGTCCCTTCTCTGGCTGACGTGGTTTGAATGGCGTTCCCGGGTTTTTGCCTGAAGGGAGCAAGGATTCCTCTCCCTTTGAGCTTCGTCGTTCAGTTTTTCAGATCCTTGTGGACACTCAGGCACTAAAGATGCCTTTTCAGGAGGCAACTGGACTTCCTTGTTTTACCTTTGAAGACGTTTCGCTTCTCGTCGAAGAAGCTTCTTCAGCTCTGACCGGATGATGGGGAAGGGAAGGATTTCTACTCCTTGCAGACAGCTGGTCATTTGCCTTCCTTTAGAGAGTCGTTGAGGCCACTTGGAGGTTTATCTGGGTCCTCAGGGTCCCCTGAGGGGTGCAAATGGGGGTGGAGCCTTCTTGGAACAACACCGTCCCTTCAGCAGTTGCAAGGAGGTTCCACACCCATTTGCACTTCTCAGCTGATCCTGAGGACACAGATAAACCTCCCAGTGGCCTCAACGACCCTCAGAAAGAATGCAAATGACCAGCTGTCTGCAAGGAGTATAGATCTTTCCCTTCCCCACCATCCGGTCAGAGCAGAAGAAGGGAAATGTCTTCAAAGAAAAGGCTCCACACCCATTTGCACCCCTCAGCTGATCCTGAGGACACAGATAAACCTCCAAGTGGCCTCAACGGCCCTCTAAAAGAATGCAAATGACCAGCTGTCTGCAAGGAGTACAAATCCTTCCCTTCCCCACCTTCCGGTCAGAGCTGAAGAAGCTTCTGGGATGAGAAGCGAAACGTCTTCAAAGGAAAAACAAGGAAGTCCAGTTGCCTCCTTTGGGACAACCATAGACCTGGGTGTCTGAGAATCTCCACGGAGACTCAGGCCCCAAACCTTTGTGCGTTTGTGTTTCCTTGCGGGGCCCTAATAGCCAAAGGTGGCCTGAGGTCCCTCCGTGGCAGCCATGCTGTCTTTGTCTTGCAGATCACGTGGACGGCCAGGGCGGCCGGAGAGTACGTGCACCTGAAGACGGCCTTGGAGAGCCAGGAGAGCGTGGTCAGCTACCTGCCGCTGAGCCACATCGCCGCGCAGATGATTGACATCTGGCTGCCCATCGCCTTCGGCGTGGAGACGTACTTTGCTCAGCCTGACGCTCTGAAGGTGAGTTGGCAGGTCCTGCTTTTCCCTTGGGGAGGTTGAGGCGGGTTTTGCGGGGTTATCCTTTTATATCGCCCCCCCACCCCACCCCCACAATGACAGAGCTGGAGGGGGTCTCGAAGGTCTTCTAGCCAGTGACCCTGCAAGTTAGGCTGGACAGTGGTTGTCAGAGTTGAAAGAGGAGTAACCTATCGCCTTAATTTGAGCTCAGCTTCTAGTGACCTGTGGTGGGATTTCCTAGTGGTGCGCCATCCTGGTGTTTGGGGATCAGCTGAGGTTGGTTAGGTGCTGCCCCCTAGTGGGGAAAGCAAAAGTTCCCTTAAGTACAGCTCGATTCCTTGTTATAGGCCAGGGGTAGGCAAGCTTGGCTCTTTTAGGACTCGTGGACTTCAACTCCCAGAATTCCTGAGCCAGCAGCTGGCTCAGGAATTCTGGGAGTTGAAGTCCACGAGTCCTAAAAGAGCCAAGCTTGCCTACCCCTGTTATAGGCCGATCTTGTTTTACATCTGCTCTGTTGAGCGATGGCTTGAAGTTACAACAGTGCTGGAAAAGTAACGTTATGACAGGTCTTTGCACGCATAACTCCTGCAGCATCCCACAGTCGCCCAGTCGCCATTTGTGACCTTCCCACCCGGCTTCTGACATGCAGAGTCAATGGAGAAGCCGGGAGTAAAATCGCAACCCCTGGTCACGCCAAGGTCTCCGGCTTAATGGGAAGTGACATCAGTCTGTCACAGTCAGACCGTGTTTCATTTTAACAACTGGGTCACTTAACAACAGAGTGACTAGTCCCTGTTGTAATCATTAACCGAGCATGCCTGTCTAAGTTTTGGCAGTGATGCAGAACTGTTTCTTCCAGGGTATGTTTTCACTTCCCAGTTGATACTTTGGCTGTGGGATTTCTTGGTGGTCTCTCATCCATACGTTAGCCACGTTGCTTTCTGCTTAGCATTTTTCTGATATGCTGAGGTCAGCCAGGTGTTGCTGCCACAAACCCTTAATTTAGAAGCAAAGACCCCGTGAGGAAGATGGTTGACTAAGAGAGGAAAGATGGATGGATGGGGATAGATAGATAGATAGATAGATAGATAGATGATAGAGATAGACAGACAGACAGACGGATATAACAACAACAACAACAACGACGATGATGATAATAATAATAGTAATAAAAAGTTGGAAGAGACCCCTGGAGGTCTTCTAGTCCAATCCCTTGCTCAGGCAGGAAACCCTATACCATTTCAGACAAATGGTTGTTCAGTCTCTTCTTATGTATCTATATGTAGATATATATATAGAGAGAGACAGATAGATGGACAAACAGAAAAACAGATAGAGAGATGGATAGATAGATAGATAGATAGATAGACAGACAGACAGACAGGTGTACATATAGATGGATAGAGAGACACACACATAGATGGACAAACAGATAATCAGATGACTAGATAGACAGATGGATAGATAGATGATAGATATATAGATATAGATAGATGTAGGCATGAGCTTAAATGGACTCCAGAAGATGGTAGAAGACAGGAAGGCCTGGAGGAACGTTGTCCACGGGGTCACGATGGGTCGGACATGACTTCGCAACTAACAACAACAATAAAAGAGAGAGATAGACAGGCAGGCAGATAGACAGACGGACAGAGAGACGTATAGATGAAAGCAACGCCCCAAAGGGGAAGGGGGGGCAGAACCTCAATATTCCCGGGGGCTTGGAGTGGGGTTTTCTCCCATGCCTCCTCCCCCCCCCCCTTCTTGAATCAGCTTCCCTGCCGGCTCTCCGGTTATCCCCCAACCATCTCCTTTGTCTTGGCCTGGCAGGGCAGCCTGGTGGAGACCCTCCGGGAAGTGAGACCCACGGCGTTCATGGGCGTCCCCCGCGTGTGGGAGAAGATGCAGGAGCAGATGAAGTCCGTGGGGGCCAAGTCCTCCATGCTGAAGAAGAAGATTGCCGTCTGGGCCAAAGCCGTGGGGCTGGAGACCAACCTGAAGCGCATGAACGGGTACGAGGCTGGGAGGGGGAGTCCTCCGCCGCCTGGGTGCCGCTAGTGGCTGAGATGCACCCCCGTCTGGGGGATGGAAAATCCCCCTCCCACCGAGACACGAGGCCACAGTAGTGGCTTTCGGTGGGTGCAAAAGTGGGTTCGGGGGGGATCTTAAGCTTGGGACCTTTGCTGCTCCCTCAACTTAAGGGTCAGGAGGGAGGGAGGAGCAGCCTGGGCAGCATCTGCAAGGCACGACCCTTTCAGGACCATCCCCAGCTCTGCAGGGCCCCCTCCCCATTTCTGAGCTCACCAGGCCAGCTGCTTTCCTGGATACAGTGGCTGCCCCCAGCTGGGTAGATGACCTGTTCAACACAGGTGCACCCCCTTGTGGACAAAGCAGGGAATTTAATAATAATAGTAATAATAATAATATAACAACAATAATAATAGTAATATAACAATAACAACAATATAATAATAATAATAATAATAATAATAATAATAATAATAATAATATAACAATAACGACTATGATGATGATGATGATAATGTACCACAGGTGGTACCCGTACCATTGATTGAAAAGCCCTGGACTAGATGACCTCCAAGGTCCCTTCCAACATTATCCCCCTCCTCCTCCTCATTATTATTATTATTATTATTACTATTATTACTATTATTATTTATTATTTCAATGGGGGGAGCCAGATTCACTTAACAACTGTGTTACTAATTGAACAACTGTGGAGATTCACTTAGCAACTGAAAGGTCACATAAAAGACCACCTGCAGAGCTTTTCAAGCCACACACAGCAGTCCTTGACTTACGACCGCAATGGAGCCCCAAATTTCTGTTGTTAAGTCAGACTTAATAAATGCCTCACATTTTCACACTTAACAAGGGTTGCAGCATTCGGCCGCTTGGCGGCCGCTTCATATTTATGACCGTTGCAGCGTCCCGGGGTCGGGCGGTCCCCCTTTTGCGACCTTCTGACCAGCAAAGTTCATGGGAAAGCCAGATTCGCTTAACGACCGTGTTAACTTAACTACAGAGGTTCACTTAACTGTGGCAAGAACGGTCTTGCTTAACAACAGAAATTTTGCCCTCGGTTGTGGTCGTAAGTCGAGGATTATCTGCATTTCCATGTTTCCCATCTGGCTGGCTGGCTGGGGAATTCTGGGAGCCGAAGTTCCGACGTCTGTTGAGAAACTCCGTTTTGTTCTGAACTTGACATAACACGAAGTGCTTCCTTCCTCATTGGGAATGCAAAGCCGTCGCCTGCCCCAAGCTTGTATTTTTCTTAAGTACAAACAAAGCTTTTCTCTGGCCTTGACGATGTTTGTTGTGGAAATAGAGATGGTGTCACTAAGACCTGTAAGGAAACACCCTCTGTTCAAATCCTGGACTGCTTTCCTGGACTCTCCCTGGGCCCATTGGACTCGGTTACCCAGGGACTCTTGTGCTGAGCTTTGAGAAGAGGAGAAGAGAAAACAGAATACAGAATATGAAGAGAAGAGAATAATAAAATAGAATAGAAAGAATGCAGAATAGAATAGAATAGAATAGAATATAGAAAACAAAATGCAGAATTGAATAGAATAGAGAATAGAATAGAGCAGTGGTGGCGAACCTATGGCACGCATGCCAGAGGCGGCACTCGGAGCCCTTTGTGGGCACACGTGCCATTGCCCCAGCCTTGCCTCCCCCCGTGACCCCCTCCTCTCCAGCAGCCCCCCTGGAGGAGAGTTGCCCCCGAGCGTGGCCCACGCAGAGCAGCACAGCCAAAGACATGGCAGCCAGGCAGCATAGACAAGACTCTGCCCTCACACCCCATCGCTGATGCTGCGGGGCGCGGGCAGAGGGCGTGGCCGCCATGGCACTGCTGGGCTACCTGGGCAATCTGCGGCGGGCCCTGGAGGCGGTGAGCGGCCCTGCAGGCAGGCAGGGGTGGGGCAGGCAGGGCGGGAGGCGGAGCAGGGACAGGGGGCGGTTTTTGGGCACTCGGTCTCTAAAAGGTTCGCCGTCACTGGAATAGAGAATAGATTAGAGAATAGAAAACAAAATGCAGAATAGAGAATAGAAAACAAAATGCAGAATGGAATGGAATGGAATGGAATGGAATGGAATGGAATGGAATGGAATAGAATAGAATAGAATAGAATAGAATAGAATAGAATAGAATAGAATAGAATGGAATGGAATAGAATAGAATAGAATAGAATAGAATAGAATAGAATAGAATAGAATAGAATAGAATAGAATAGAATAGAATAGAATAGAATAGAATAGCCGAGGTGGCAATAAGAGCCGATAAGAGCCGAGGTGGCGCAGCAGTTAGAGTGCAGTATTGCAGGCCACTTTAGCTGACTGTGTTCAGCAGGTCAGCGGTTCAAATCTCACCGGCTCAAGATTGACTCAGCCTTCCATCCTTCCGGGGTAGGTAAAATGAGGACCCAGATTGTTGGGGGCAATGTAAATATATATATATATACATTGCTTACTGGTGTACACCACTTAGAGAGTGCTTGCACTTAAAGCGGTATATAAGTCTCATAAATAAATAAATAGAATAGAATAAAATATGGAATGGGGAATAGAATAGAATATGGGATGGGGAATAGAGTAGAGTAGAGTAGAGTTGGAAGGCACCTTGGAGGTCTTCTAGTCCAACCCCCTCTTCAGGCAGGAAACCCTAGTATAGCATATCCATACCTGTGCAACAGGGGTGCTTTCCCAGGACCTGTTTCAATAAACACTCTTCCCATACCGGTACATGCATGTGTGTGTGGGGGGGAGGCAGCACAGCCCCTAAAAAGGCTGCAGCCCTTGCTAGTTGGGGGGGGGGTTTCTCGTTTCCTTCCCAGCCGCCTGTTTACGGAGATTCTTCGTCATCCAGGTCACGGGTCGCTTCTCATTCAAAAGACCTTTCGCTTTCAGAGCTGAAGAAGCTTCTCGGTGGAGAAGCGAAACGTCTTCAGAGAAAAACAAGAAGGTCCAGTTGCCTTCTTGAAAAAAAAAAAAAAAAGAGCGCCTTGGGGACTCCCAGCCTCACGCATACTTTCCTTGCAGGTCCATCGATCTCCCGATGAATTACCGGCTGGCAAAGGCGCTGGTTTATAAAAAGGTCCGGAAAGCTCTGGGCTTGGACCGCTGCTACCGATGTTACACGGGGGCGGCCCCCATCACAAAGGACACCTTGGAGTTTTTCCTGAGCCTGGACATTGTGATCTACGAGCTCTACGGCATGAGCGAAAGTTCGGGTCCTCACACCGTTTCCCATCAGGCATCGTACAGGATGGCAAGGTAGGCTCAGAACTGGATGGGCAGGATATATTTACCGGGGGGGGGACCCCAGCTGATCCCAACATTTCTCCTGCTAAGTGAAATGGCGGTTAAGTGGAGTTTTCCCCATTTTACGACATTTCTTGCCCACGGTGGTTCAGTTAGTAACACGGTTGTTAAGTGAATCCGGCTTCCCCATCGACTTTGCTTGTCAGAAGGCCATAAAAGGGGGTCACGTGACACACACACACACCCCTTCTGCGACCGCCATAAATACGAGCCACTCTCCCAGCGTCTGGATTTTGATCCCAGGGCCGTGGGGATGCTGCAAAGGGCGTAACTGTGGAAAGTGGTCCTAAGTCACATTTTTCGGTGCCGTCGTAAGTTTGAACGGTTGCTAAACGAATGGTTGTAAGTTGAGGACGGCTTGTACAGCCATGATGGGGCCTGCTCGAGATGATTGGAAAATTGCAGCTATTGCAAAAGCGTGGCATCACCGTGACAAGCTGATTTTGCGACCCTTTTTTCTAGCGGTTGTTAAGTGAATGCTGCGGTCATTAAGCGGTGCTATTGTTTTGGGGGCATTTTTGCCAAAAACTGGAAATCGCTGCCAATTTTCCTCAAAAACATTGTACATTGCAGTCACGTGAGCACGGGCTACTGCAAACTGCCATAAACCCAGGCCAGTTGCCAAGTGCACAGGATATAAACCCTTGGCCATGAGGATGCCATCATAAATTGGTAACCAGGTTGTAAGTACCTTTGGGTGGGGGGAAGAGCCTGTCCTAACTTTGAATGGTCACTATGTGACCTGTTGTAAATTGAGGACAACCTGTATGTTCTCTTCCACCTGGGGAGAAACTTGAAGGCTTTTCTTATTTAGGAGTCTCTGAATTCCTGGTGTCCATTGCAAAATTTAAATTTCCCTGACAGAGGAGATTCCTGCACGCTCCGATGAACAGGTCCCGGGAGAGAATTCCCACAGTCAGGAGAGATTTCCAGCCCTGTTTGGGGCCGGGTTCTTTTTCCCTGGCACGACTGGCTTTGTTGTGCCGAAATTTCTGGCTGAGATTGGAAAGCTCTCTGCCAAACATTAGAGGTGCGAGCAGATTGCTGTATTTGTTGGGCAAACACTCAGAAAGTCTAGATTTCAAGTGTGGCGTCGGCAAGCTGTTAACATGGGCATCTTGCATTTTACATTTAAAAAAAAAACAAACAAACCTGAAGAGAGCAAGTGCCGAGTAAAAGGACGTAAATGGGAGAAATACCCAAACAAGTTCTAAACATTTGGGTGGCTGTGTCAGAAATTCAGTGTGACCAGCTCTTGATTTAACGGACAAAGGAACGCCTGTTAAATCAGACCCCGTGCAGATTGTCTGTTGTATCCAAACTTCTACATTCAATCAGGATGTGCTGTTTTGTTAAACAAGGGTCCTAAGCTTTAAATAATTAGGTTTTCTTTTATACCACCTCACATTGTGAGTGTGGAGACTCTGCTGTGCTTCTCCGCAATGGGCAGTCCGTGTGTTTGTGAGGGGGGGTACACTTGCCAGCCCTTGACTCTTTGCTTGACCCCTTCCCCTCCCCCTCCATCCAGCTGCGGCAAGGAGATTACAGGCTTCCGGACGATGCTTTTCAAACCAGACCAGGAAGGCGTCGGCGAGGTCTGCTTTGCCGGGCGCCATGTCTTTATGGGCTACCTGAACATGGAAGACAAAACGAAAGAAGCCATTGACGCCGAGGGCTGGCTTCATTCTGGGGATCTGGGCCGGTACGATGAGGATGGCTTCCTCTTCATTACGGGACGGATCAAAGGTAATCCAGTCCCCTGGGTCACGAGAGGAAATCTCCAGGGAAGATCACAAATGAGAATCCTGGGTCGCTGGGAGACTGCAGCCGTCATAAATGCATACCGGTAGCCAAGTGCCTGGATTTCAGTCGCGTGGCGTGGGGTTGCTGCGACAGTCGTAAGCATGAAAACCAGTCACAAGTCACAAAGCGAACCGTTGTTAAAGTCGAGACTCCCGGTTTCTGCAGCAGACAAGCCATGGTTTATCCCATAGACTGCAAGTGTGTGAATCCAATCGCTCTTCTTGAGGTCTGACGGCACGGCCTTTGCCGTTTTTATTCCAGAGCTCATCATCACCGCGGGGGGAGAGAATATTCCCCCGGTCCCGATTGAAGATGCGGTCAAGGAGGCCGTCCCCATTCTTAGCAACGTCATGTTAGTGGGAGACAAAGCCAAATATCTCGTCATGCTGATGACCCTTAAGGTGAGCGCCAGATTTTCTCCTTCCTCCCCTAGGCACTGGGACCCGCGGGGGAGAGGGATAGGAGGGAGACGAGTCCAAGGGGCTGCCATTCTCACTCCTTCAGATCCAAATTGGGCATCCCCAGATGTGTTTAGAATAGAATAACAGAGTTGGAAGGGATTTTCGAGGTCTTTTAGTCTAGGGGTGTCAAACTCAATTTCATTGAGGGCCACATCAGCTTTGCAGTTGTCCTCGGGGGGGGATGGGTGGGTGTGGGCAGGGGGGTGAGGCTTACTGGGTGGGCGTGGCTGGAATGGGTGTGGCCTACTGGGTAGGCATAGCCAGCTCTTCATCGTTCTCATCAAAGGTGCCTGTGAGGGCCTGGGCAGGAGTGGGACAGATCTGAGGGTCTCTGGCAGAAGGGAGTGGGACCGGGGCATGGTCCATTGGAAGAGTAGGTGAGGGCCATTTGCTGGCCACTTCCAAGTAATAGTGCATTTCTTCATTCCTCACAAAGGGTGACACCTCCCCAGCATGCACCCAGGGGTTGGGGCCGATGCGGCAGGGGTCGGTCCCTTGCTGTTTCCAGATGGCCTTGTGGAACTAAGACTGAATGCGTTTCAGCATAGATGGCCACCACAAAATTGTACATTGGCTCCCGGGAGGCCTGGGCCGGGGCCAAGGCAGCAGGGGCCGTTCCCTGTTTCCAGGATGGCTTTGCGGGCCACATGAAACCATGGCACAGGCCGCATCCAGCCCCTGGGCCTTGTGTTTGACATGTCTGTTCTAGTCCAATCCCCCCCCCCCCCACTCAAGCAGGAAACACATTTCAGACAAGTGGCTATCCAGTCTCTTCTTAAAAGCCTCCAGTGTTGGAGTACCCCCAACTTCTGGAGGCAACTTCTGTTCCACTGGTTAATTGTTGTCACTGTCAGGAAATTCCTCCTTAATTCTAGATTGCTTCTCTCCTTGAGGAGTTTCCATCCGTTGCTTCTTGTCCTGCCTTTCTGGTGCTTTGGAAAATAGCTTGACTCCCTCTTCTTTGGGGCAACCCCTGAGATGCTGCTATCATGCCCCCCCCCCATCCTTCTCTTCATTAAACTAGACATACCCAATTCCAGCAACCATTCTTTATATGTTTTAGTCTCCGGTCCCCTAATCATCTTTGTTGCTCTTCTCTGCACTCTTTTTGCCAGATTCTAGAGCACCCTTTCGCTGTTTTAAGATGGGTGGGCTTCAAATTCCTGGAATTGGCCAGCTGGGAAATTCTGGGAGTTGAAGTCCACCCGTCTTAATGTGGCCAAAGTGGGAGAAACACTGGTCTGGGAAGGCGCTATTCAGGGTGTCAATCCAGGCAAGAGAAGTTCCCCTTTCAAAAATCCTCAGGAGTGGAAAAACTGAGGACTACAATCTTGAATTGAAAGCTAAAAGGGAGAGTTCACTCTTTGGTTTTGCAGAATCCTGTTCTCCTCATCTTTGATCGTTCTTTCATAAATGCTGCTTAGCTTAGGATAGGGTTGATTCTATGCTGGGGGGGGGGGAGGAAGAAAGTCCTCCACCCCTTCGGTGCTCCACCAGTTCCTGTTGGGAAAAGATCAGATTGTTCCTGCTGAGGGTCTAGACATGATCTCCAGGGGGGCAACGTTGCTGGCCTCTGCCTTGAGCTCTTACCTTGTACTCCACATTGTCTGAATGGGTGGGTGCCCACATACACCCCCTCATCTATCCCCCCTCTGGGCAAACACCAGGGCAGGGCCAGCCCCCACCAGAGGGTGGCGCTGCCCTCCTTCCCATGGCCACTCCAACACTCTTCTGCTTTTCTAGAGCAAGATGAACCTAGAAACGGGAATGTCAGAAGACGAACTGACGCCTGAATCCATCGAGTTCTGCCAGAAACTGGGCAGCAAGTCCACCAAGGTCTCCGACATAGTGGGCAACAAAGACGTGGCTGTGTACACCGCCATCCAGAAGGGAGTCATGAAGGTCAATGATCACGCCACCTCCAACGCCCAGAAAATCCAGAAGTGGGTTCTGCTCAGCAAAGACTTCTCCATTCAGAGTGGCGAGCTGGGTAAGAAGCTGGCGTGGCTCCCCAGTTCTGGATGGTTTGTGGGCAGACTGCTGGGGTAGGGGGGGGGTCGGATGGCACAGGGTGGCATTTCTCAACCTTGGCAACATGAAGAGGGGTGGACTTCAACTCCCAGAATTCCCTAGCCAGCCATGCCATGGGGTTCAGCCCAGATCCCACTTCGCTGAGAATCTTAGCCGCTTCGTTCAGAAAAGACAAGTCGTATCCAATCAATGTTCTCCAAAAGAGATTTGTCAAGTCTTATGCGGAGAAAGGCCAGGGGATGGTTTAAATGCCCTTTATGTTGCCCATTAAAATGCCCTCTGTCCTCTGAGATGCTAAATTAAAAGAGGACCGGCCTGCTCACTTTTCCAAAAGTGAAGTCCTTGCATTACTCCTGGGCAGAATCTTCCCTTTCCAAGATTTTAAGGCGACCTCAGGAAAGTTCAGACAATCATTTGTCTGAAATGGTAGGTTTCCTGCCTGAGCAGGGGGTTCGACTAGAAGACCTCCAAGGTCCCTTTCAACTACTTCTTCTTCTTCTTCTTCTTCTTCTTCTTCTTCTTCTTCTTCTTCTTCTTCTTCTTCTTCTTCTTCTTCTTCTTCTTCTTCTTCTTCTTCTTCTTCTCTTCTTTCTTTCTCTTTCTTTCTTTCTTTCTTTCTTTCTTTCTTTCTTTCTTTCTTTCTTTTTCTTTCTTTCTTCTTTCTCATGATGATGATGATGTTGCTATTGCTGTCCATTACCAAGGAGGCTTCCAGCTTAGGGTGGTCCACTGTGCAGACATCATCCATCTGGGGAGGGGGCTGGTCACCCATTCCCCATTATATTAAGGGAGCAAAGAGCATCCATGCTCCATTCAAACATTGCAAGACATTTCCCTGGATTCTCGGCTTTGCATGGCGTCAGAAAAAGTTGAAGGCGGGGGGGAGGGCAAGGCGTGAGGGGGGTCCTTAGGCACTAACATGTGGCCAACTGTCTCTGTCTCCCAGGCCCAACCATGAAGCTGAAGAGGCCAGTGGTAACCAAGATGTACCAAGAACAGATCCAACAGCTCTACTCAGAAACACCAAATTTCTGAATGAGGATGCCCGTCTCTCCACCTGCCTCTGCCTCGAAGTCCAGCATCTTTACCGGAGTCTTTTCTGCAGGCGAGGTGCACCGTCGCTTCCGTTGATAAATGAGGTTTTCAATAAAGGGTCTCCTTCTCTTGTTTTCCTCCAAGGCAGGAGACTCCTCTGCACTTCGGACTCTGGCTGTGCCGGTGAGAAGCATACGGAAGACCCTCGCTGGCTGTTTTGACCTCAGTGTACCTCTTTCCGAAATGAATGTACCAACCTCAGGGTTTCTCTTTCCTTCTTTTCTCATTTCCTTTCTTCCTCCTATCTTTTCCTTTCCTTCTTTATTCCATTTGTTCTTTCTCCCTTCCGCTTTCCTTTCCTTTTCCTTCCCTTTTTCTCTTTCCCTTCCTTCCCCATCAAATATCTTTCTTTCTTTCTTTCTTCTCCCTCTCCTTCCTTTCTATTTTCTTCTCCCTCTCCTTTTCCTTCCCTTTCTTTTTCTTTTCTCCAGGGATGGGATGGGAGTTCTCTAGTGAACCAAAGGAAAACACTGCAGCGATGCCGCAGACTGGGTGAACCCTGTGTGTTCTTGCAGTGCCTTGGGGTAGCTCGTTGGGTGAATCTTTGCACGGGGCACTTTTTCTTTTTCCACAAGACGGCTGGTGTTCACATTGCACACAGGGCAGGACATTTCTTACTGGCGCACTTCAGTCTTCTCACTGTTTTCACTTGGGAGGTAGACTTACATAGCGAGGTGTGCCCAACTCTCTTCAAAGAGCAGGATGTTTTTCAACATCAGATGTTGGGGTCCGCTTTGCCCCTCCTGTGCCAGGGGACCAATTTCCCAGGAAGGAAGGAAGGAATGGGCAGAAATCTCCTTACAAGTGTTTTGGGAACACATTTGGAAACCTGCATGAGCATCACACTTGAACTTGGCTCTTGGGGCTTAGTCAGAGTTTACCCTGTGCTTGTTCTGCGTGAACCATAAGACTTTAATTCCAGCCAAATTATATGGGGGGAGGGGAGGGAGAGGATTAGGCTGCTCAGCTGTGCCTTGTTCCCCTTTAAATCGACATAAAATTGCAAGTACTGCTCTGGATTCAAAACCCAACTTGCGCAGAAGAGCCAAAAAGTGTGCCCTTATGAATTTGAGCCACTTTTGTGCAAAGAGGCTTTATTTAGTTTTGATGTTTGGTAAGAATTGCGGTGTGGGTAAAGAGGCATTGAGCAAATGGGGGTGTCTGAAGAAAGCATGGGGTGCAATCATGGATTATTTTTAATAGTGTGAGCTAAACGAAATCACTTTTAGCTTCTAGTATAAACATGGGAACAAGGGGGGGCATATTTGATAATGGTTAATAAGGCTGCTCTGTTTTCATGGGAAGATTTAAATGCTTCTATAGAGAGCTTTTCTTCTCCCTGTAAATGTAATAGGAGTTCTCTGTATTTATGAATTGGGGTGCAAAGGAAACGTGTCTTTAAGGAATCAAATGTGATAATCTGTCCATATATATTAGGAGTGTTTTTTTTTCTTAAGTGTTTTCAAGGTTGTCCAAAGTTGTGATGGTCACCACATATTGTAATAAGGCCTGTAAGTTTAAAATTTTTTGCAAAATATGCAGCTGTTGGCTTAGAGCCTTTCAGACTCAACTTTCCCTTGCAAACGTGGTTATGTTACCGTGAGCATTGAAGTTCGCCTTCCCTGATTTAGCGTTGTTTCCAAATTTTGGGTTCCAGCTTCTTGATTTTTCAGCTCCTGCAAGTGGAGTCCCAGGAGGTCATAATGCAGAAGCCAGGAGAAGGGAGGGAAAGAGCCATTTTAAGTAAAAATTCTTCATATTTTTCCACCCATCTGTTTCAGGGCAGGCTGTTCTTTATGTGGTCTCAGGTTTGTCAGGCCTTTTCGAATCATGTCAGAAAAATATTTCAGAATAAAAAAGATACAAGCTCAAAAACAGTCTTGGGTGTTTTTGTAGGCCTCCCGGGTGAACTTCTGCCTGCAGCCAACACAGTTGTGGGCTCCTTCCTGCTGGCAGGAGAAAGTGAGATGTGTCCAGCCCCATAGGAGTGTTATGGCGGGCTGAGCTGGGCCTGGGTGCAACCTTCCCTTCAGGTGCTGCTCCACATGGGCTTTGCATGAGCCACCCCAAACCACGGTTAATGGGCTCACGGGAGTGCTGTAAAGCACTATAAAGCAGTATACAGCTGGTCCTTGACTTACAACAGTTCATTTAACGACCGCTCAAAGTTACAACCGCACTGAAAAGTGACTTATGAGCCTTTTTTCACACTTACAACCTTTGAAGCAGCCCCATGATCTCGTGATCGAAAGTCAGATGCTGGGCAAACTGATTCATACTTATGACCATTGCCGTGTCCCTTTTGCAACCTCCTGACCAGCAAAGTCGACGGGGAAGCCAGGTTCACTTAACAACCGGGTGACTAACTCCACAAATGCGGTGATTCACTTAGCAACTGAGGGAGAGGAAGGAAGGAAGGAGATAGGGAGGGAGAGGAAGGAAGGTCATTAAGATGGGGCCACCCTCGCTTAGCAACGGTCTCACTTAGCAACAGAAACATTGGCCTCCATTGTGGTTGTAAGTCGAGGACTACCTGCATACGCCTGCCTAAGTGCTGTTACTATTGATGCAAGGCAGCCACATCAAAAAAAAAAACAAAAAAAAACCCAAGTACGGCAGCCTAAACATCAAGTCCCATCACAGCCTAAACATTTAAGGCCCATCATCCCCAGCTGAGTGGACACCATGGTAACACCATCAATAGCAATGCAGGCCAGCCATGTAAAAAAAAAACCCAAAAAAACCAAGTATGGCAGTCTAAACATCAAGTCCATGTCAAAAAAAACAAAAAAAAGTATGGCAGCCTAAACATCAAGTCCCCTCACAGCCTAAACATTAAGTCCCATCATCCCCAGCTGAGTGGACACCATGGTAACACCATCAATAGTAATGCAGGCCAGCCATGTAAAAAAAACCAAAAAAAACAAGTATGGCAGTCTAAACATCAAGTCCCCTCACAGCCTAAACATTAAGTCCCATCATCCCCAGCTGAGTGGACACCATAGCAACACCATCAATAGTAGTGCAGGCCAAAAAAAAAACAAGTATGGCAGCCTAAACATTTTAAGTCCCCTCACAGCCTAAACATTAAGTCTCCCTCATCCCCAGCTGAGTGGACACCATGGCTGCTGCTGCCTAAATATTAAGTCCCCTCATCCCCAGCTGAGTGGACACCATGGCTGCTGCTGCGTCCCCAAAGACTCAAGCGGGCATTTCTCCTAGGGGGCACCGCAGCAGGCAGGATTCCTCGCCCAGGCGCTCCCTAAGCGAAGGCACTCTGCACACGCCCAGAGGCCCTCAGCAACCGCCCCTCTCCCGCCCGCCTGCCCGCCTCAGGCGCCTCGCGCCAAAACGCGCGCCAACCGCCGGCCCCGCCTCCCGCCGCCGCCCTCCCCCTCCCGCCTTTGGACAGCCGCCCAATCGGAGCGAGCCGAGGGGAGGGGCCGCCCGGAGGGGCGTGTCCGCTGACGTCACGGGGCAGGCTAGCAACAGTTGCCTCGAAACCCCGCGCGAGGAGGCGCCATAGTGACCGTAGCCCTGGAGACGGTTACTTGCCAACGGGAGCCGCCGCCGCCGCCGCCGCCTGCACCCCCGGCCGCCGGAGCCCAGCGCAGCCCCGCGGGGAGCCCCGGAGCCCCGGGGCGGCCGGGTAAGGCCCGCGTCCGGGACTCGAGGGGCGCGCTCCGGAGTGGCCGGACTGGAGTTCCGGGATGTTGTTGTTGTTGTTGTTGTTGGGCGGGGAGGGCGGGAAGGCGCGTTAATCCGGAGTGACTCCGGGGTGGGGGGAAGTTGGCCCGGTGCAACGGGGGCGCTCCGGGCGAGGAAGGGCCCGGCGGGGCAGGAGGACTGCAGGGCCCCCTCCCGACCCCCCAACCCGGGACAGGGGCTGCTCCCCTGCTTTGCAAGCTTCCCTTTCGGGGTGGTCGCTGCTGGGGGTCCCCCCTCCCCGCAATGTTGGCCTGGGAGCAATTAAACCGAGTTTGGCGGGGTCCCCTGGGTCGTGTTTGTCAAGCTCAGCAGCTGGGAGAGGGATGGACTTCAACTCCCAGAATTCCCCAGCCAGCTTGGCTGGCTGGGGGATTCTGGGAGTTGAAGTCCAGCGGTCTTAAAAGTTGCTGAGCTTGCTAAACTCTAGGTATTCCCCCCCCCCAAACTCTTTTGTTCCATGGCCAAAGCACCTTCCTGCTCTCCCAACGCCCCTAGTTGGGTGTGGGGGGGGACTTCTCTTTCCTGCCTCCCTTCTCGACTCTGCCCATTAGGATGGGTGAGCGCTGGGGGGGGGGGAGCCTGTGGGGGTGAGCTCCTGGCACGGGGAGGCGACTGCTGCTGGAGTCCGCTTTTGGTGGGCAGGGAAATGGCACAAATCCTGGTTACAATCTGCGAGGCGTAAAGGGCTGCCACTGTTTTGTGTGGGTGAGGAAGGAAAAGGAAGGAAGGAAGGAAGGAGATAGGGAGAGGAAGGAAGGAGATAGGGAGGGGGAGGAAGAAAGGAAGGAGATAGGGGGGAGAGAAAGGAAGGAAGGAGATAGGGAGAGGAAGGAAAGAAGGAAGGAAATATGGAGATGAAGGAGAAAGAAAGAAAAAAGAAAGAAAAAAATAAAAAAATAAAGAAAGGGAAAGAAAGAAAGAAAAGAAAGAAAAAGAAAGAAAGAAAAAAAGAAAGAAAAGGCAAGGAAGGAAAGAAAGGAAGGAAGAAAAGAAAAGAAACGGCATTCTTGTCTTGCTGTTTGTGGCTGGGACTTTTCCACCCCTCCCATTTCCTATCTCTTGAAAGGGGCGGGGGTGGTGGAAAGAAGGAAGGAAATAGGGAAGGAGATGAAGGAGAAAGAAAGAAAGAAAAAAGAAAGAAAGGGAAGGAAAGAAAGAAAGAAAGAAAGAAAGAAAGAAAGAAAGAAAGAAAGAAAGAAAGAAAGAAAGAAAGAACAGCATTCTTGCCTTGCTGTTTGTGGCTGGGACTTTTCCACCCCTCCCATTTCCCATCTCTTGAAAGGGGCGGGGGTGGTGGAAAGAAGGAAGGAAATAGGGAAGGAGATGAAGGAGAAAGAAAGAAAGAAAAAAGAAAGAAAGGGAAGGAAAGAAAGAAAGAAAGAAAGAAAGAAAGAAAGAAAGAAAGAAAGAAAGAAAGAAAGAAAGAAAGAAAGAAAGAAAGAACAGCATTCTTGCCTTGCTGTTTGTGGCTGGGACTTTTCCACCCCTCCCATTTCCCATCCCTTGAAAGGGGCGGGGGTGGTGGAACAGGACTCAACTTGGTTGCGGTGCAGATCCTGGTGTGACGCCTTCCAGGCAGACCGCCAGAGGGGTCTTGGCCAGAGCCGCCCAGATCTATTTAAAACATCCCCTCCCCTCTCAAATGCCAGCACTCTTCAAATCTGGCTGACATTCCTGCTGGAGCTGACTTCTGTCTGGCTGGCGTGCCAGGACTTGTTGCTGCGGTGGGGGAGCAGAGAGCCTCCTCCTCCTCGCTCGACTCGGCGTTGGAGATTAGATTTCACCTAAGCCCAAGCGGGGCCTGCCTTTTCCATTTCATCCAGGCCTGATCTTTAGACTTGTCGGTAGCTCTCTCTGAAGTTGTGGGGGGGGGGGGCGCAAAAAAACAGAAAAAGGGAGCAGGGAAAAAAAGGGTGAGCCTGGCTCGCAGGGCGCTTTGGATCACGCCTGAGCTCCGCATGAGTTTCCAGCCACTTTGCAAACATTTTTTGGAAGTGAACTTAGTGACATGACGCAGGTTCAAATGATGCAAGGAAGAGAACCAGAGGTGGGGGGGGGAGAAAGGGCTGATTGTGCTTTTTTTTTTTAAAAAAAAAAAACTCTGTTTCCTGATCTCTCCGCTGTGTGAACGATAAGAGGGTTCATGACGGTGAGGTTGGCTTATCTGTTGACAAGACACTCCCACTGTCCCCGCCACAAATGATCAAAGCTGTGCTGGGAAAACTGAGATAACTGAGATCACACGCTTCCCCCCCCCCCCCAGAGAGCAGTCAATTTTACATTTTAGTTCGTTTTCATCTGGAGGGGGGGGAACCTGACACGTTGGGAGCGAGCAGAAGCCTCAACGCCTCCCGTTTGGGCCCAAGGCTCACACCTTCCTGTTTCTGCCTATTAACCCGAGATACAATTGGCAAATTGTATCTCGGGTTAATCTAGGCAAATCTAGACAGCACACTAAAAAGCAGAGACATCACCCTGCCAACAAAAGTGCGTATAGTCCAGGCCGTGGTTTTCCCAGTTGCAATGTCTGGCTGTGAAAGCTGGACCATAAGAAAGGCCGAGCGCCAAAGAATGGAGGCCTTTGAACTCTGGTGCTGGAGAAGACTCCTGCGAGTCCCCTGGACTGCAAGGCGTTCAAACTGGTCAGTCCGAGAAGAGATCAACCCCGACTGCTCTTTAGAAGGCCAGATCCTGAAGTTCAAACTCAAATACTTTGGCCACCTCATGAGAAGGAAGGACTCACTGGAGAAGAGCCTAATGCTGGGAAAGATGGAGGGCAAGAGAAGAAGGGGACGACAGAGAATGAGATGGCTGGATGGAGTCACTGAAGCAGTAGGTGTGAACTTAAATGGACTCCAGAAGATGGTAGAGGACAGGAAGACCTGGAGGAACGTTGTCCATGGGGTCGCGATGGGTCGGACACGACTTCGCAATTAACAACAACAACACAATTGGCCAGACCCGGCTGTTTGTGGTTACTGTTCTCAGCATGCAATTAAGAAGAGGCAGATGGACACCAGCTAAGACGGTTACTCCGAACGGAGCTGGAAGGGACCTTGGAGGTCTTCTAGTCCAACCCCCTGCTCAAACAGGATGCTACAGCATTTCAGACAGGTGGCTGTCCAGTCTTATCTTAAGCAGGGCTTGTCAGCCGGTTACCAATCCAT